TGGTCCCCAGCACCTCGGTGATTCAGTGGTGTTCAGGGGGCATGCATTAGTTAGAGGGGAGGCTCTAGTCAAAAATTCTGTTCTGCATAATTGATGCATAGTTGGGAAGTAAAGCAGTGACTACACGGCAGAGACAAGTGCGCCGCTGTTCCTGCTACCTGGTTGTTTGGTTTCCTCTGCGCACATCAGAGCAAATCAGCATCAAATCAAAATGCCTGACATAATTCTATTTTAGGCATCTGCTTTTACAACTAAGGTGTGATTGCTTTGTAGATACTCATCGCAAAAATGATGTTGTGTACTGTCTATCATTATGTTGCCCAATTACGTTTAAAGAAACAGCTTTGATTTTGGTGGAAGTGATTTGTGGAAGCAAAGGAAAGAAGCCATAAAATGAAAAAAATATTGTGGTAAAGCTAACCAAATACAGTCAGTTGTTCAAAATTCATATCTTTGTTTTTGACCAAACATTGGGGGGAAATGACCAAACATAAACTGTATAAACACCAACTTTCTTTCGGAACAGTCTGAGAAATGTCAGTTGAATGGTTCCACATGTTCCAAATTTAAACTTGTTTCCACACACCAAAACATCAAAGGGACTTTTCCAGTCTTACCTGTCACCCGCAAAAAAGCACCACTGCTGAGAATATTGTGAGTCCCCTCTCTATTTTCTCTCATATGGTAAAAGACACTGCACTTTTCCTCAGATGAGTGCAGGCAGAAAGCAGTGTGTGACTGAAGAGAGCATGCTGAGAATCCTTTGAGTCTAAGCACCTAAAACAAAACCATGGGACTTAAAAGAATGTTTCAATCTTCAGTTCTCTTAAGTCACATAAATCTAGGGCAAATTTCATCTTTTTTCTCCATAGTATAACCTCAGAGATGTCTTAAAGCAAATCCGGGTGTTTTGAGTGGTCGGTCTGAAGGCTGATGATGATTTGATTCAGAAGTTCAAGCGTTCCTGAGCGGGACGATGAATCCCAGGGTAAAAAGTGGTTATTATTAAGTGAAAATTATTTGAACGGCAATCATTTTCCATCATTTTTGCTGGTGATTAAAAATCCATAGAAAATGTGAGAAAACTTCAGCTTCTACATGTGTTAGCGACACACAGCTAACCCGTCTTATCCTGTTACTGTGGTGGTGGGGGGGGGGGGGGTTCACACCAACGCTGTACAGCAAAATGCTCGCCGTGTGTGTGTGTGTGTGTGTGTGTGCTATTGTCTCTTCATAGCCTTGTGATCTCCTGGCAACCTGTGCACGGTGTACCTCGCCTCTCGCACAATAACGGCTGGGATAAGCTCCAGCCCAAGTACCCCCCCCACCCCGCAAACCTATTAAGTACAGACAATGGATGGATGGATGGATGGATGAAATGGTCTCGTTATTTTGCTGGCTCCCAGCAAAGGGCAGGATATTGTGGGTGTGATGTGCTGGAAGGAGGGAAAATGGTCGCCTAGTGGATCTGAGGCATTTTGACCAGGCCTGTTAAATGTGGGTCAGCAGGCCTCGTGGGACGCTCCTCGTATGAAACACTGAATAACCCAGGAGACCAGGACTGTGCACCGACTCTCAGATACATGTGGGGGGGTTAAAAGAAAATTCTGATATGATGAGCCTGTAATTTGTGTCCAATCTTACATTCTCTGGCAGCCGTTGCAGCAGCATTTTCTTCCCTGTGTAAGAAGGCAACATTTCCTGAGTGCTTCACTCCAACATTATCACTGAAATAATAATGTTGGAATGGAGCTGCTGACAGACACACAAACCGCTCCCACTCTAAACCCAACACAGAGTCGTTGTCCCCATAATGAATCTAAATTAACTTGTTTTTTTCACTCCTAAGAACCATAAAATGTGATATTTGATGCCAATTTCTGGATACAGTATTTTACTGTTTTGAGTCCACAGCTAGTTACAAGGAGCTATGATTAAAGCAATTCTTAATACCTTGCAACAAAACTTGACTATTCCCTGTTCTTACGATAACAACGATATTACTGTAGTAACATTTTGGTTGAAATATTGAGATAGCATTATTTCTTAGCCGTGTAATACTCATTTCCACATTTCTGAGGGAATTTGATTTCCTGCAGGCCTGCTAATAGCTAAAGTAGAATAGGTTTAATCCTGTCTATACATGCAAATCCAACTCTTGGGGGTCAAAACAAAAAGCCCATTTTTTAGCTGACTTCGGAGTTACCTGCTCCAGTCAAGGCTGCTCAGAGCTATGAAGTGCAGCGAGACATAGCTAACACAGAGTCTGTTAAGCTTTGCTCGGTTTGTACCCTCTATCAAGGAAAAATACACCCAGGTGATAAAGCTCTGGGAAGTAGAACTTCTCCACCAGATACAGAGTCCCTCTCAGTCTTCCCTCCCTCATGTCGTTAGTCTATCTTCTTGCTCACACTTCTCTTCCTTTCATCCCTGAGGATCTGCCAGTGCTTAGCAACATGCGTTTGGCCAAGTGTTGGATATGTGTGTGTCTACACAGAATTAATGGGATGCACCCTGTACATGCAGTCTCGTGTGTTTGAAATGCCCAAGCAGGCAGCCCAGAACATGATACGAATGCTTAATGCACGAGGATGAGAACATATACATATACAGTGGCGCTACGCTTATTCTCCTTCAGCTGATATCCATCTTTGTCCCTCTAGAACCTTTTAATTCATGAAGTTTGCTGCCTTGATCTGCTTTCTTTCTTATTATTCTGTCCGAGTGCATTCATCCACCTTTCCCCATGCAGCCGTCCACCTAAAGCAAACACACACACGCACGCCACTGTTTCCTCTTGTGTTTGTTGCGGGATAGCTTTAATCTGTTGCTATGGATACCAGAGTGGGGGATAAATCTGTCTACAGGGGAACCTCGAGCCATTAAAACCAGTCACGCATACAGTTGACTCCTTCCAGCCCTGCAGCAGATTTGACCCAGTGCCACTAACTGGTAGATCAACTCCCAGATGCTCACGCCGACTTTCCTGCAGGTGGAGAGCTGTGATTGGACCCTGACTGGATACAGTCAGGCCTGTGGTGTGACTATCAGCTGTCATCAAATAAGGACCCCCTTGCTACTTATTTCCATTGACAGCTTCTGAATGTTAAACTGCAGTGTGGAAGCCATCCCACACGGAGAACAGCAGGCCTCCCCTCTGCTCCGCCATGATGATGTTGTCCTTCTGCTGTCCTTTCTGGAAAGGACTCACAGCGGTCTGTTTCCCAGAATGATGGCTTTGGTGTGCTAATCATCGCCATGGTTCTGTCCTGGAAACAGATGGAAAGTTCGCATGCTGCACACAGATGATGGTGAGCGTGTGCGTGGGATCCAGCCTCGTTTGAGAGTGTTTCAGTTAGGTTTGATTCCAATCATTTACTTGCTGTTTAAACGCTGTTCAAAGGCAGGTGTTGCCTTTATAGATGCCATTTTGCTTAGATGTGGACACAGTGGCCATATGCAAGAAAACCATATCTTTAGGGATAAAACAATTATTATGGTTTGAGCTAAAGAAAAAGAAATTCTTATTTTTAATCTTCTTACATTTTTACACTTCACAAGCACATTTTTCATGACCACCACAGCTTGTAAGTTCATGGATATGCCATGACCACTTCTGTTGGCCGGCTTAAGCATGTGACCCATGGGGCCGCTTATGTTGCCTTAACTGCACCCATCAGTTCTGAGAAGAACTCATAACTGCACAAACAAAAGAAAAGTGTTGGAGCATATTTTTGGACTGGTCTCCAACCGCACAGTCTTTATTAGTCTGGTAAGCCCTTCTGCTAAGCAGGAATGAGTCACCCATCTTTTCCCTCCTTGGGTGGCACTCCGCTTTGTAGCCGAGCAGGAGGAAAACAACACTCTCCGTATCTGTGTTTGCTGTAAGCGCTGCTTTTCTCTCCATCTGTCTCCCCTCACGCTGATGTTTCTTTTCCCCCCCCCTGTCGTTATTTATTGTGTCGTTAGTCAGGCCTGATAAGGGCTGACTGGAGCCCCCACCCCCTGCTCAGCCTATCCCCTGTAGGTCACGTCTAGCTGTAGGGCAGCTTATATGTGGGCTTACGGGCTGGTGCATCTCACATCTGGCCACCCAGGGCAGATAGTGGAGCAGCTTCAGTGTCACTGCCTTCTCAATTTATTTCTTTTTTCCACTTACGCTATCACACCTACAGAATTTCCTCCCATGACAAGCAGCCCTTCAATGATACTAAATAAATAAACACGTACCATGGCGCTATCCGCTTGAAGCTCACTTTAGCATCTTCCAGCAGTTTTCTACTCACTGAGAGGTGGAAGGCAGGTTGTTATGGTCTTTTCTGTCCTCGGGGAGGCTCAATGTGGCACCGAGGAGAACAGAACCATTCTTTTTCTCTCTGCCCCCCATTCGTGCTGATCGTTATTGTCTGTTTAAGGGATGCAGCTGGCCGTTTCCAACTGTAATTTCAGCATTCCCCAGCTGGCGATATCTTATAATTTTACGCCTATTCTCGGTGATAGGTTACCAACAACATCATATCCCTGCTATTTTGGTGCTTAGAAAGTCAACCTCAGTGTGGATCCATCAACCCAAGGGGCCGTCCCTGTAGTGCAGTTTGAAAGTGCTGGACGCAAGGGCTTCATGGCTTTTATAACACATTTCATCTGGAAAGGGACTGTTAAGAATATTGGTACATTTATCTCAAAGAAGTGCAGATATAGTTTAGAGCGCTTTGTTATTAACAGAATTCTGGTAGAACTGTTGCAGAGACGATACCCGTCAGAACTGATCAGGATCAACGGCATACAGAACAGTTAAGTCAATGTGGAGGGATCATTTATGCAGAGATAAGATAACTGTAATTGCATCAGGCTCTTTTTCATTCCAATGCTGCCACCGCATGGCGGTGGAGAGGGGCGCGCACCCATGACTCCCACATTCCAGTGCTCATCTTACATCTCCAGTTCTCATAGAAATCATTCTTTCTATTCTAAATGCCATCAAACAATCAAGCACAATAAGCACATTTATTAGTTTAATTGATTGTATATATATATATCATTACTACCAAAGCCATGAGTAAATGAAAATAATGAAACTGTTCAGCGTTGCCCCAAAAGTCTGGCCTGACCAAGTTGCAAAGCTTCAACTTCCTTATCCAATAAATCTGTCTTCATTCTGAAAAAAACTTTGTTAGACCATGACATCACTGGATTGCTCTTCACATCCAAAAATAGAACACAGCTCAAAGGGATCGAACTTCAGGACAGATAAGATGTATGAAGCCTCAGTGCACACTCATGTGAAGCGGATTAAGATTTAGTAAAGACCATTGGCCAGTTTTGTCTACGGAAGACCAGTTTTTGTATTTGAGATGAACAGATATTTGGTTTGACTTAAATAAGGCCCAGGCTGGCATCTACCAGTATGCTCATTCAACCCTCCAAATCTAAACTGCTTCAAGGCACAAGAAAAAAGGAAAAAAAAGAGCTGTCGAAACTCATCAGGTCCTGTTTGTTGTTGGGGATCAGTCCAAAGAACACGGGTAGTTAATAGATTTAATCAAAAGAACACATTGTAGCTTTGTACAACACTGACTGTCATGATACATTTTTGTACAACTTGTATTATAGCAGGATTTTAAACAATCTTTACATTACAATAATAGCGGCTAAATAGGGGGAAAAGTGCAAGGGCTTGGTATGGAAAAAAATAACTTCCAACAGTATTTTCCCAATCATGTTAATTTAAAAGATTGGAAAGTACCATGATGTTTAGGTGGTAGGAGGCATTTTTAAAAACTTAGAAAAAGAAGAAAACACCATAATAAGAGTATTGCCTTGGTGATGTTCATCAAATGTGGTGAAACTAAAGAATGCTTTAGTAATCGTATCTAAATGTTTCATGGGGGACATATTCTTATATGTTATCCCATCACAAACTATGACACAATCATGATGCATGGTATTCAAAAACGTTACACGCCAAAAGCTATACACTCTTTTATTTACATAATCTCAGTTAGTATACCTGAATAAAAATCTGGCATGAATGGGACTGTTTTGGCAATTATCTTATTTTTTCGCATAAAGGACGGTCTATTGTTTCCATGTCAAAAGAGATTATAGATAAATCACTGAAGGCCATTTGCATTAAGTGCATTATTTAACATTCTTTTTGATTATTTAACTCAGTTACATTGACAAAAAAAAAAGGAGAGCCAAGTTTACCTGTTAGTGATTGAAGTTCAATTTAGCTGTATTTTAAATTTCAGCGGTGCACAGAAACACAGAAAAACCCTGCAAACACAAGAACGTAAAATAATACAAATCAGAGGGACATCTGTAACACCCTCAAATATCTTACCATGCTAATGCTATTGTATGAGTGAGAGAATACTTTGATTTGCTTTCTTAAGCAGCATGAATAGCCAGGGCTGTCAGAATTGTTTGTACCCCATTGCCTTGCAAACCCTTCCATCACTATTGTAACTAAACCATGTGTAGAGTGACCTCAAATACATTTTCATCAAATTCAAAGAAACATCATTTTGTAAGACACAACAAAACATTCAAACTGGCTAACAGGGACTCAGCAAAAACCATGGAGTGGACGGGCGCATCAAGTAACCAGACTGATAGCATATCTTATCTTAAGTTCAGACTGTAGGCTTGAAACAGGAGGAAGTCAATAACTTAAACTATTGTCCCATTCTTAAGGCACAAACTGAATTGTACTGCTCTCTGTTTGTGTTGTTAGCATTGGCTAATTAGTCAGCATTTAGTGCACAAGACATTTGTTTTTTGTTTTTTTATCTCTTTTTTACATTTCTGTGATGTCAGACCATAAAATGATTGACCTAAGCAATAAAAGGTGACAGCCATGCTACAATATAATGCAGTAGATTTCTATCATGTATAATATCTCTGCTTTGTGTTTAAAGTGTACTCGTTCAGTAAGCTATCACTTAAGCATTTTCCAGTGTTGCGGCACTCAAAAAAGTCTTTAAAAAGGTACATTTAAAGAAATACTCAGTTCATAATGACACTTGGAAAACAGAAAAGTCCCATAGAGCACAATGTTTGAAACACCTAACCAGAAATAAGTCGAATAAGGCTTTAAAATGTATACCTGATGGTCTTGTAGGCATTCAGGTCATCTCAGGTACCAGACCTCTACTCGACCTTTATGATTTGCAAAATATTTAACAGTGTATGGTACTCCTTCCATCATAGCTCAACCTCGCTTCACTTCCTTGAGATATCTTCAAATCTCATCTGTCATCATTGTTACTGACATGAAAAATCTGGTGTTGCATTTACTTCCCCACGCTGGTGGTCTGTTTGGCGTTGTGTTTCTGTGCAATGCCGTAGGGAACGTGGGCAGCGATGGTGCCCATTTCCGCCGCCCCCTCCACGTGAAACATCTGGTCGTCAAAGTAAATGTGCGGCCTTATCTTCTCCAGCATGGGGCCTTTCGGCGCACCTGCAAGAAACAATGCCTCGTCGATCTCCAGTCCCCAGGCCCGCAGCGTTTTCAGGGCTCGAATGCCGGAGCTGGCGGCACTTCGGGCCGTCACCAGGTAGGTACGGATCGGACAGTCCAGGCGTTGGCCTTTTGCATAGAACTTTTTCTGGAGCTTCCCAAGAGCCTCCAGGAAGCCCTTCAGGGGACCCTGCAAAATGACAAAGAGCCAGTTAGCTTGTGTTTTCTGTGAAATGTCTTGCTCTGTGTATTCTATGGGTTGATTGTCTGCCGCTCTTCTATTGTGGTGCCACACAAACGCATTCTGATTGCACAGCAGCACATTATAATGCATCAGCAGCTTTCAGCAAATAATTGAAATTGCTGCGTGTCTGTAAGAATGACACACCAACTGACAGCTTGAGTCTCACAGTCATCTATCATATCATTTTATCTTGCATAATATATTCATAGATGAATGTGTTCCTGGAATGGAATCTAATGGATGACAATCTGTGCAATTATTTCCACATGACGGGGTCTTCATGGAGAAGACTGACATGTTATGAAGTTAATTACTTCTCTAAGCTTACTCAAGGTTTATCACAGGTTTTTCCGCGAGAGCAAATCCAGCATGAGGTATTTCCTGCAATGTGTTGGAATTAAAAATCTTATACAAACATGATCCAGAAGTGTGTCCTCATTTTCTCTCTCATGTTCGAAGAACTTGTCCAGTCCATGGGCCTTGAAAATGCGCTCAGACTCGTCGGAAAAGAGGACAGCATCACCATCAAACGCTACCCTCAGCTGGGTCTCTGACACCTCCGTCCTTTTCACTGCCGTGAACATGGTGGCCGCTGCGATGCCTGGACAGAAGGGGGGCATGTAGGGACAGTGACACACTCGGAAATGAAAGCTTTGCCCGATGGCTTAAGCTGCTTTTCATCACAAGTACGATACACGGATTACATGACAGTGTACAAGTCTTTCAGTCCCTGGTTCATCACACACGCCTTTGTTAACAAAACAAAGAGGTACTTGATCCTCTTGTGTGATGGACTCCAGCTCTCCCTTTAAAAAGACTGCCTGCAGAGTCAAAAAGTTAAGCCAAACCAATTTGCTTTCCAGCTTTGTCACCTTCACCAGCAAACTGCTTTAGTGTTCCGGTGAGGCAGCGCTGGCATGTGGCCAGAAGGACAATACCATCTGCATAGAGCAGACACCTCAGTTTCGCATTCTGAGTTTGACAGAGATGAACTTTGTTAGGTTTACCTTGGGAAGAAGTTGGGGCACATCCAAGACGCAGCATTACCAGTCTTTAGAAATGTAGGCAGCTCTCACAGCTGCCCACTCCTGTTCCCTTCTGACAGGCTTTACAGCAAGCCTATGTTAGAGATTTTGGGCCCCTATCGCCCCGTCCATATTACTAATTAACTCATAAATGCCATATCAACTCAAGACAATTCTTTGTTCATTTAAGGGTTAACCCTTGACTCTTAATGGAAAGTCAAGCGAGTGGAAATAATGTTAAAAACCTAAATCGTTTGTGGGAGATTCTTAGGGAAGCATCATCAAGCTGCTTCCAAAGTCTTCCCCATCAAATGTGAAGAACACTTTCCCTGTCTGTTTGTGTGAGTGTGGGGCGTGGTGCTTCCCTGCACTAGCATCATAACCGGATTCCCCTGAAGTTACCTTGAGAGAGATGGGGCCACAGTGTGATCAGTCAGCTCATTCCTGTCTGGTTACACACAGAGTTCCAGAGTGGTTCTGTTGCCGTCTGGTTCCAACTGCCAAAGGCTTTTATGGCTATTTCATTCCAAACTTTTTCTGTTTGGACGGCAATCATAATGAAGCATGAAAGGTGCTGCACGGAACAGATGCAAGCCTCCAGAAGCAGCTGTCACCTCAAGTTCCCCAGTTTTTGCCTCGTCATACTTCCCCACCAGCGCACTGATATTTTTGATGTCTTCGACCTTGTGGTTAAAATAATCTTTTCCATTTCCATTTTTAAAACAATTTTGATATATCACAGCATGCAGGTGTTCGTCAAGTAATATGCAGAGAAAGAATTAAAATTCTGATTCATGGTAACGGCATGGGTACCATACATATCAGTCACAGCAGCTTTCTGTGCAAACAGCCCATAAAACTTTCACGTTTCATGTACAATCACAGCGATTCGTGATTTCTGAATGTTTGCGAGTAGCTTTTTTTCTTCCATTCATTTCAAATTGAGTTAAGCAAACACTCACTATCTGTCCGGTGAGGAACTGCTTTGTGATATATGATGGAAGCATTGCATGTTTTTTTATTGAAAATAAACTGCCTTTTAGCCTTCCAAATAAAACACTGGGACGTCATCGGGAGCCTGGAGAGTGGAGGGCATTTAACAGTAATAAGCCAGCTTTGTGAAAAAGTTCCTTTTAGTGCAGTCGCATGTTTAACAGACACCAAAAAGGGCCTGTGAAGGTTTTTATTGAATTGTCCTGACATTTAAAGCACCAAGCTACGTTTCAAACCATTGCTTGTGTGATATTCCACTATCTTATGTATCCAAAGTCCTCAGGACGCACGATACATCATACCCTGTGATTAAGACATGTTGAAATATTAATAGGGGTGAAAAAATTGAATGGAAATATTCTGTCAAGTTTATGTTATGAATGCTACATGCTACCTTTCTGTTTATACCTCTTTTGTGTTACCTTTTGCCGTTTTTTTTCTGTTTTCTTTTTCATCGTATATGTGTATTCCACTCACAATTGCAGTTGTTGGGATGAAGCTTAACTTCCTGCTCATTATTTGAGTGCAGCTTTACCCCTTGTTGGTTCTGGTGGGTTCATTCTTCACACCGGGGCTCGGAGTGCTGATTGCCTCTCCTGCATTGTGTGGCTGTAAACACCTCTGAGTGTATCGCTCTACACACCCTTTTTCCCCTCAAGCTGCGCTTACACTTTCTTTGTTCGAAAACATGCCCACCTACTCATTTCGAGCCTTTGTTTGGCTCCTGCAGTCTTCGGCGTCTCAAAAGTCTCAGAAATGGTCATGTAGGAATGACATTCCTAACAACCACCTTGAAAATTCTACATCTACAGCTCAATTTAAAGACTTAATGGTCTCTCACTCAAGCCATCGGTACTTTATGAAAGAATACATTTTTTCTTTTGCCGGTGACGGTGGTTTTGAAAAAAAAAAACAAAGCAACTTGCCTTTTCCTGCGCACAAACTGGCATTTACAAGGAACGCAAAGTAAAGTCAGACTGTTCACACAGTCAGAGCCGCACATACACGCTTTTCACTTCAAGTAACTGATAAAGAAAAAGAGGCCAATTAGCTTACCTCCACACACAAAATGGAAAAACATTTCTCTTCTGAGAAGAAAACAAATCCCTTTCTTCAGTCTCAAGTTAGATTTTTATCCTGTACGTCATGGCTATAATGGCTGTTATAAATGATTGCAGGAGGGCAAAATGACTCACAGAAAATGGGTCTTTCAAAAAAGAAAAGCGAATATCTACAGATTCGTGTTAAAAAAGGTGGTATTTTTTGGCTAAGCTGGACTTCTTCACTACTGTAGTTGTCATCGGTTTTTATGACGGTAATATTTGTGTCACTCTGTGGAGCTGTGGTGCAAACTGCTCTCAGGTGAGTCCCTCTGGCTCCATTCCGGTGGGTCTCACCTTCAGCCAGCGCCTCCCGGACCTTATCGGCGTCGGCAGACAGGTACAGGTTGGTTTGCCAGGCCTTCAGGTAACCGATGGGGCTGCTCCCCCCCGTCATGCAGAACCTCTCGATGAACAAGTCTGAGGACAGGCAGAAAAAAACACAGACAGATATTTTACAGCGCGCTGCTTCACATCAGAAATGTCCCGATGGGCTGATTATTCATGCGTTGCTTTAACCGCACGGAGAATAGGAGCACATAGAGTCACTGGAGGAATCCGAGTTTTCTCTGATCCCTGAGGTCGTCGTTCACCTGCTGAATCGTTTCAGGGGTCACGGGAGGCGAAGGTGGACGAGGGAATGTGTGCAAGAAAAGACTACTTTCAGGTATTTAACAGGTGGATGGAGTCCAAAGCGGGAATGAACTCAGCAGGAGAGCTGGGGGTGGTGGTGGTGCACGTGGGGGGGGGGGGGGGGGTGACAGAGGTGCAGTATGTGCAGATGAGATTACTTTGAAATGAGGTAATTAGATCTCTGATTAGATCATATCTGTGTCCTCAGGTGGAATGAGCAGAGAGCTGGAAAGGTCACAGACGTAAAACTGTCCACTTTTCATAGAAAGTGTTTCTAAAGTTCAGTTAAGGGGTTCAAAATGAATGAAAACGATGGGGCAAACCTAAGGTAGATGAAATTATACAGAAATTGGTTGGTGGGATGACTTTTTAAGAAACGCTACTTCTGTTCATTTCTAAACACCTCCTCTCTCTACAAGAAGTCAAAAGGGTCCACGGACTGACCGTTCAAGTTGAAAACAGTACCAGCCGAGCAGTCCGTTCCGTCCGGATAAAACTGTGATGTTTTCAGATAACTCACACTTGAGGGACGCATCTGAGAGGGGATCATCTCCACAAATGCCTGTTCTGCCCAGTTATTTCACAAACAGACATTAAACAGCAGCAATTCAGCCAAGCAGTTTTTTCTTCTTCTTCTTTCTGCACAGTCGCTGCTGATTTCAGTTTTTGAGACTATAATCATATAATCACATATTGAACGCCGCCTGCTGATGACTGAAATCCAGTAAGCATTTGCACATAGAGTAAACCTTTCCCACTGGGATTATTAAAGTATTTCTGATTCTGATTCTGATAGAGGACAGAGCGAGGTCCTCAGGGCAGGCTGACAAACGGAAGGAAAGGTACAGAGACTCAACATACCTGTCTGCTAACACAAAGTCATCAAAAGCCAATTTACGTGTTCTTAAAAAGCTTTTCAATGCTTCTAAAACCAGGCAAAAGCACCCAGCATGACTAAAGAAAACTTGAGGTGAAAGGGGACAGAATGAAAAGGAAAGGGCATCGGTGTTGTGTCAAACATTTCCATGTCTCAAAAGAATGAACTGTCCTTGGAGTATTTCCTAAACAGTTGATTTAGCTTTGTAGTAATCCCCCCCCCCCCCCACACACTACAATCCAGAACCTGTGAAGCTTCCCTTGCTTCCCAGACAGGCGGCGAAGCGTGGGAGCCGTTTCCAGGAAAGAAAGCCCTCGCGAGTGCTTTCGCATCCGTTCTGTTTTCCCAGTTGTTGTTTTGGTGTCATCCATCTCGGCCTGATTTATTTGCTTTTTCTGAAGATCTGAAAGATGGCCACAGCAGAGCAGGAACTCAGCAGGGCTGCCGAGCCGCTGCCTCCTCAGGAGCTCTTTGTTGTGCTGAGCAGCTTGATATTAGATGCAAAAGCACTGGTGTTCGTACACCAGGGCAGAACCCTAATGTCTGCGCCGAGGCTCGGTTTACTGCGCACCCTGCACATTTCAGCTCTTCCTGTCATCATAACTCCTGGTAGGTTCATAAAGTTCCTCCTGCAGCTCGGGGTTTAAAACCCTGGCCAAACCCGATAGCAGTTTGAGTCACCTGAATGGAAGGAGGGGGAACTTAACACCTGATCTCAAGTGACTGGAGGCAGGCTGGTGTGAGAGGTGGTTTAGTATGCGATCATCTCTGCAGGTTCTCAGCAAATACTTTGTCTCTTTCTCTTTTTTTCTGTCTCTGCAAATCAGCGGAGGCCCGGTATTAAGCTAGCTGTTATCACCTCCATCCCAGAGGCCATGTTTTCTTTATTTCTGCAGAACATTGAGTGCTGGGCCCTGACGCAGAGAACCACCCGAGAGATGGGACATGAAAGCCGTGCGTCACTTTGGTCACTTCCCTCTGACTTGTTTTTCTTTGAGGCCGCTTGGATTACCATTCCATCCCACGGGATATAATCTTGTAGTCGGAAGGGCTGAGGATGCGAAAACATTTGGTGCGCTGCACAGGAAGCGGTCTGTGAGGAGAAAGTCAGCGCAGGGTGGGAGATTTTTCCCTGAGAAGGCTCCTGTCAGCTGTCCATACACTCCTTTGTCTTGGCTGAGCTTGCTTCAGTATCAGGGTTTTTACTCAGTGCTGCAGAGCCGCTGTGTGTCTGTGTCTTCTCCTGTCTGAAATCAGACAGTTCGGATGCATCTGAACACACTCAGTGGTAATAAAGCACGTTTTAGTGTTTTTTTTATCAGTAGCATTTAAGTATTATTCAAAATCATTTCTGTCAAACAATATTCCAAGGTTGAATGCTGTTAATATGAGCATATGGTATTTTTTTTTGTGTTACAAGTGAAATCCAAAACAAAAATGTCCTGTTTACAACCTACTGATTTCACCATTACAGTGAATAATCAATCCAAGAACCAGAAACCCATGCAGATAGAAGAAGCCTAACACACTGAGCTGTGTGTGTGTTTCCCGGAAAAAATCTAATGGTCAGATCACCAGTGCCCCAGTTCTGGCTTTAAAGTACTAGTTAACCTACACACACTCCCAGCCAGCAACAGCAGGTGTGTATTTTCAAGAACATACCGGTTGTGACCGAAACACATTGTGATCTCTTGTCTTTTAATAATGTTTATAATTCTATTAGAAATCCTTGCTTTTGACAAAAGTGTTTCTTGCTGTGTGAGTTGAGGCAGGTTTACTGTTGGTAAATGTTAGTTTTGTTCTCCCTGTTTCTCAGTGGCTTTGTTGCCTTAACCCAAAACTTTGAAAAATGAGCAAGTGAGGTGTTATTGAACTGAGTTTTGTTTCCACACAGAGATGTGAGGCGCAGCTTCTTTTGGGGCTTACTGTGATGGTTGATGGTGTTGATGAGTCGGATCCCGACGTGAGCGTGGTTGTACGTCACCAGGACGATGTCGAACAGCTCCTCGCTCTGCGGGTACAGGTCCCGCAGGCGGGTGTTGACCGCCTCCAGGGCCTGTCAGGAAGAGTGACCGTCAGATAACAAGCTCAAGAAGCACAGCAGCCAAAAATCAAAGGTGTGTGTGGAACCTATGTGGAACTTCAACCTTAACAAAGGGGAAGGCGGGCCCGGGCTCGAAGGGTTCGGTCTCGTGCTCAATCTGGTATCTTAGATACTCCTCCACACCTTGCTGCTCATACACCTTCTGCTCCCTCTCCGTCCGGAACAGAACCCGCGAAGACACTGCTATGGTCACCGCGTTCTCGGGCTTTGGCTGCGGGGAGAAGTCAAAACAAAGAGAGTGGAAGTACACAACAGTGATGAATGGGGAACAAATGAAAGGAAGGGTGTGTGATGATGACCCGGTGGGAGGAAAGGTTAGTGGTGTCAGGATGACTTTACCTGTATCGCTTTAGTGATGGAAATAAAAACTTTCACACAAGTTTTCCTGAATACAGTTGAGAACTCTTCACATCAGAGTGAATGCTCAATGGCATCGTTGTTAGTTATTGAACTGCTATTACATAATTGTAAACAGCAGGTGAATAGGAATGAATTAAGGATGAAGATGAAAATGCTAGCGGCTTTATTACAGGAATACTAATGGAATTTTTACAAATCAAAACACTCTTGATTTTCTTACTAGATAAAAAGGAATGACCACTGAAATGTATGTTAGAAAACTTAACAGACCATGTGGAGGTAAGAGTGTCAGGGGATGGGTGACCCTCATGCTGTTAGTGGGTTTCTTTTGCCCAGGGTAACTTGAAGCGACAGCTAACAAAAACAAACAAAAAAAGGTCACCACTAAATAAGCAAAAAAAACTCAATTTGTCATTCCTGCTTGGTGTGCATCAATCTCATGCCTTCAGAAAGTGTTTTTTCACTCAATTTGTCTGCTTTGTTGCCTTAAAAACTGGAATTAAAATAATTTTTGTTGGGTTTGTGTCATGTGATCAACACAATATCGACACATGCTTTAAAGATAAAAAGATCTTGTAGTATTTATTGTCATAGGATTAGGACACTTTAGCATGCAAATGTTTCAGTACCTGAAAAGAACTTTTCATTTATCCTTGAAAAATATTTTTCCCATCCTTCAAGCTAAAACTTCTTTGTCTTCTTCAAACTTAATTGGTTCAGCTAGAAAACAGTGATCCTAAATTTGCAACATTTGTCATAAATCCAAGATTAAACTTTTCCTCATCTGTGTGATAGGTCAAAAATATTTAGATGTTTCTCCGCTGTAGTGATTTAAAAGCATGTTTACGATCAACCTGTTGCTATCAGGTGAGCCTGTGTGATGGTTTTAATAATAACTGTCATCAGGACACAGGATGGAAAGGAAACGAAAGGAAAAACTGGGAAAGAGTTGCAGCGCACAGTGACTGTAGCAGTTGTTAGTGATCTGAGGACTTCACAGGGGAATCACGGCCACCTCCGGGTTAGAGCCGTTATATAAGGGAAAACTGCACTCACACGCTTTGTTTGTCATGAAAACAGACACCATGCACAGGCCTGTGCTGAGCATTTATGGATGCTTTAAAGCTGTGAAAAACTCATTTAGAACCGATTGTTTTCGTGGAACTAATTACCACAAAACGACTCGGCTGGGACATTTTTTAGAAGCAATTGCTGTCAAAATTTGGCTTTCAACCTTTTTTATTTTATTTATTTATTATTTTTTAGGCATATCAGTATCAGTATCAATATTTATTAGGTACTTTCGTATCATAACATCAGATGTATGCAGAAGAGATGCGAATCGTTGCTGTTCGCTCTGTTCCTATTTACACAAAATAGCTGCAAAATAGACCCAGAATGGCACATGGGTGTCCGGAGAGTGCTCATAATGTCGATCCAGCACAGTGTCACAGCGTCAGATGGGCAGGAGATGGTGCTGCCGTGGCCTCGGGTTACCTAACGCTCGTATTTACGCTTGTGTTTGGAGGGTGAGGGCTGCATTCCGGCCAGGGCAGGTGGCATTACTGCCCACAGAGGGCAGCCACATGCGGTAAATGTGGGGCATAACCAATCCAAGCACAATATGTTTGTGGGTGTAGTTGTTGTGTGTGATTTGGAGAACTCAATTTTCTTTTTTAAAGAGGCTCTGTAAAAAAAAAGACATTACAACATATTTAAATGTCTTTAGAATGTAAAAACCTTTTTAAAAATGTTTTTAAAAGAAGTGATCATGATTAAAATTTCGTTCAACCCACATTAAATGTGCTCGGCTCTAACCGTGCACGAGCACAGCACCACACTGCCAGTGAGGCATGTGTTTGTGTAGTGAGGGAGGCGGTCTGCTAATGGAGGCCTCTACATGTTTGTGTACCTGCCATTACGGCTTTATGCTTTTAAATAGGCCGCAGGCTGCAAAGGGCACTGAGGCATCGCTCCTGTTTTTAGCCCTGTTCCATCCCAACCTGCTGCCCGCTGATATGCACCCGTTTACCTGCTGACACACAGGTTCTCCAACTCAGATCAGTGAGCTCTGAAAAAGGAGAAAAAGATGACCCGTCTCTGCCCTGAGCAGGATCGATCACAGCTGATGCACTTAAAACAGCACTGTGACTTTTGCCTTTCATTCTGAGCCACTGATGGGATTTGTAAAGTTTCCTGAGGTCAGTTTTTGCAGCATAAATTTGGACACAAGCTTTATTCAGCTGGGTATGTGACTGTGACACCAGGTAAACCAGTTCGATTTGGAGATATGACTCATCAAAACAAGTACTATAAACCAAAGATTACTCTCATAGAGATTACCTCTCCCTACAGACAAAAACACGCACACTTAAATATAAGTGAAATGTAATGATAACATGGAAATATGAAGAAAACATGCTAAACTTAGACTTTCTGGTAAGGTTTTAGAAAGTTCAGCTAATATTATTTGGGCACAGTGGAATCGTGCAAATGCAGAAAGAAAAGATTCAACCCCATCCCTTAAATCTTCGTCCCTCTGGTGAGATTTAGGTTTTGGGTGTTGATTGAATCCTCGATGAACTGTTCTGGGACTGATTTGGGCCACAGTTCACACTTAGTTTAGAAAGGCTTTGTTCCAAGGCCACAGCGTTTAGTGACAAATGTCAGGGAGTCTTGGACCCGGTTTTATTACATCTGGAACATAACCAAGGAAAATGACTGCTTTTTTTTTTTTTTTACCACGGAAGGCGATGACAGTCGAAATCATAAACACGCACACAAAAAAATACTTCCTTCTGTCAGGAAACTATAAAAAAGGAATGTTTGCGTGTTCAGTCCACCCGCACACACATGTTAAAGTCAACAAAAGCACGAGGACACACATTAAGGTGCCACAGCTATAGCTTTATTAGTCGCTCAGTACCAGGATGAGTCAGTGATGCTGGGGGTCAGGCTGGGGGTCAGGCCGGGGGTCAGCGGCGTGAGGGGGGGCCATGCGGGCGCGGCCGGCGTCACAAACAGGTTAAAGAGGGTGAGGGGGCAGCGCTGACGGTTGCTGGGAAACCACTCACACTTTCAGGCTCGTGAGGATGGAGCATACTTACGAAGAACACGCCTCCCTCCACCTTCCGGACTCGTCTTCCTGACACCTTAGCAGAATAACAGTTTGTTTGCAGTTCGTTAGAGAATTTTTCCACATCTTAAAAGTTCCCTGACAAGACACAATGTTTCTTTTTTTCTTTCTTTTTTTAATGTCTGATACATAACTTGAACAGACTTCCTTTAAATGGAAAGCTGTAACTCACAGGTGACTGTATAAAGCAAGCGGCACGACATTTAGAGTTGTGCGTTCACAGTGGAAAACGCACAACTCTGACAGGACTGTGTAAATGTGCGAGACCTTTGGTGCAGCTTATCCGTCAGAGTCGGTTTACTCTATGAATAACATGTCAGCCACGCTGGGAGAGATCCCAGAGCCAGAGTCCGGTTCTTTGCTGTGATTTGATACTATAAGTGTTTACTGCCTGCCCTATCTCTTTCTCTCTCTCTCTTTCCCTCTCTCTCAGTGGGAATGCGTCGATCATAAGACTTCTCTATATAAAAACCTATGGGAACTTAAAGGCAAACAGTGTGTAACGGGTCATGGATAACAGAACTTTCTCGGAATGAAAACTGGAGGGTTGAGCTTTCGTTTGACGGTGATTTAAGCACTTTCTGCTTTACGTGAATCCCTGCAGAACGTTGCCAGATCAGCAGGTATTGGTGTGCGACCCTGATCCATGAGTCATCTTTTATCTACATAATATGAAAGGCCACAAGACACCCCTCCTATCAGTGGGGCAATTAAAAGATGAGAGATGGACGGGAACTCCGGACAGCAGTTGGAAAGAGCCCAGAGGAGGAAGCAGTGTGTGTGTGTGTGTGTGTGTGTGGGGGGGGGGGATAAAGAGGTGAGAGTGTGAGCAGAGAGTGGCGGGCTGCGTGTGCTGGGTGTAGGTATTTATAGATAAGGTAAAGGCCAGTGATGATGCAGTGGGTTTGGGCCTTGGCAGCATAGTAGCACCGGGGTGTCACTGTACACCCCCGTAAACAGCCCTGCAATCAGGTCGGCAGCAACAAGAAAAAAAAAAGGTTTTGGTAATGCATCTCAGCTCTTTTTTTCCTGCTGCCGGAGAACACAGGCCTGGCCGGTTATTCCGACGTTCACACGTAGATTGGGCTGGAACTTGAAGTAGTGTGATCTCATGTTTGACCCTGATGTCAGAGCTGAAGTGTGCCTGTTTGTTAGTATCCGCTGGGGCTTTCTTCCTCTGTCTGACTCGTCTTTCATGTTGTGATGCCAGAGCCTACAGAAGCGCATTGCATTCACAGAAAATAAAAACTGACACCTTATCTCGTGATTTGGACATCCTGATCTGGTAATTATGAGATATTTTCTCGTAATTACGACATGCTAGCATAACAACAACGACAACAACTCAATCATGCATCTCGGCCATGTCAGCTTTTCTGTTGCCACAGTAACGATGTCACATGATGAAACGTAACAAAGCCGCATTCGTAAATAAACATCATAAATAAAGTTTAAAATGACTCATATATATGAATTCACCTCTTTGTGGATGTGCAGTTTAGTGGTTCTGAGTAAAGTACCATACTTTCCTTTCCTGATCTCATAACTACAACATCTTTTCTTATAATTACAACATAAGGTGTCTCATTTTTTTCCCAGTGAATGCAATGTGCTTCTGTAGGAGCTGGCAAATGTGCCTCAGTGAAAAAGATACCGTTGCAGCTTGATGTTAGGCGGATTATCTTTTCCCAGTACAGAATCACGTCACAGTGCTCTGGGGAAAGCCACCGAGGAGAACGCTGTTCTCAGTGGATTAACCTCACAGCAACGGCTTTTCCACCCTCCTGCAGCTACATGGGCCTCATGCCCTCCTTCTAGCAGGGTGTCTCTGTCAGGCCGAGGATCATAACCCTAACCCTAACCCTAACCCACACCAGTAAGACTTCCTGTGTCAGCGCCTCTATCAGTCAGGGGAGTGTGATCCAGAACAAGGCTGCTGGTTCAGACACCGTCTGCTCCAGATACCTGTTGACCTGTGCACGACTTTAACCTTAGCCCTGTTCTGATCCATAAAGCATCTCGTAGAGCATCTCGCCCTGGGTGACAACAGGCCAGTCAGCCTAACGTCCCAGCTGATGGAAGCCCCGGATAGCCCCCCCGGTTGGCCTTTAATCAGCACTAAACTCAACCCCTTACAGTTCGCTAATGAGTTCGTGTTGAAAATGCCAGTATCGATCTGCATGATAGAGCCTGAAATAATCCAAATGTAGCTGGCAGCTCTTTGAGAAATCGGGGTGTTTGATTTTTCTCTGAAGCTTTTAGAGTAGTTTGGGCAAGACTGACAAGCTCCAGAATATATATACAGGCTTTACCTTTGTGACATGGTACGAGAACATGAAACTCAGTGTTTTGTGCCCAAACAAAAAGGATGGGTATGGAATTTAGACAGATTGGTATTAAACCAAACACTATTTGTTTTTCTAGAGAAAAGATGGAGGAGGTGGAGGATTACAGAAACCAAATGATTGACATGCCCAACAAAACTAGCCTCGAGGCAATCCTCAACCAGTTCAGCCCCAGAGGTCTCTGAGGGGTCCCTGCTTTTAAATGATACTCGTACATTAAACTGACTCTGCATAAGACATTGTGTCTTAAATGATAGCGGACACTTGTGAGACATTTTTGACCTGCATCCAATCTGGTGAACCCAGATGTTTCCCTTCCATAGATTGAAAAGGTTCATAAAGCCTTGGTGCTTCAACGCTACAGCAATATGCTGTTTATCTTCCATGAGTCTGTGGAGGAGATTGCAATCTGCTTTGCAGCCTTCTGTTGAAGCCAGAGACCCAGAAAAGCTAAGGGGGCTGATAAAGAGGGCAGACTTTGTGGAGGAGACTCCTCTCGAGCACCTGGAGCTGCTCTTGCTAAAAATGATGCTGCTCGTGGACACATCGTTCAATGTGGTTCCTTTCTTCACAATATGGTGTGACACAACAAAGTGTGTTCACTCTGAGGCCTTCTCAGCTCCACTGGACAGCAGAATAAACGGGAGTCATGACTAATGACGAAAAAGTCCCCATAACATTTGATCTTCCATTCGTTTTCTATAGCGCTTATTGCTAGTAAAGTCTGGAGCTATGCCAGCGGGGACTGGACGAGAGGTCGAGTACATCCTGAAGAGGTCAGCAGTCCATCACAGGATCACAAACTACACTCAAATCTATTCCTAGGGGCAATTTAGAATAATTACTTGACCTGACCTGCCTGTCTTTGGACAGTGGGAGGACGTCGGAGAACCCGTGCAGACACAGAGAGAGCGTGCTAACTCCACACAGAAAGGCCTCCACTATTTTAACTTCCCACTGGCCTTGTTGGGCATCTTTTATATCGAAATGACCCTTTCATCCAGCAGAACTTTCATTTGATTTGGAAATTTGTATCGATGTGATGAAAAGCTTTTGTGTCGTCTGGTTTTCGATGAAAAGCCTTTGCCACTGAGAAAAGGACTTATTTTTCCCCCCGTAATTCTTATTCATGATATCAATTATACGGGAGAGTTTAAATAGACAACCGAAAAATTGATCAGATTTCATACAATAGTGAATACCCAAGAATGATATTGATTTTGTTGCCTTCTCAGTTTAAAACAGGCCTAATCTACTCTGACATTTCAATAAAACCCAGAAAACCTGTGTGGTCTTCCCCACTGATGAGTAATCACATCATGTTCTTTCCTCTAATCCTGTCATATATATATATATATATATATATATATATATATATACACACCAGTGCTCGTATGACAGCATTGCCATGCTATAAATGTATACTTTTAATGCGTTTTTTCAGTTCTATTTGGGGATTAATGCAGCGTCATTAAATGGTGATGTAATATAGAAATTCTTGGATCAACAGTTAAGTACAATGGTTCAGGTTTGCTGTCTGAAAGTGCACCGGCGCCTGCATTAATCCTCATGCAGTGGAGATTACTCAGCTTTTAGCTACTTTTAGCTCTAAGACTTTGTCTGTACTTCGTGTTCCTGACTTGCACTTGCTCAGTCCTTCCTCCGCTACCATCCTGGGACCCTAATATCAGCCTCCGGCGGGGTGAGGCTGTCTGAGGGACTGGAGCTGTCCCTGATTCTGGGAAAAGGCCACCGTGTCCCGCTCAGTATGTTGACGTCTCGCGGGGCCAAAAACAGCACTAAACCTCTGGCAGAAAGAGGGACAAGTCAAGCTCACGTCCGAGCTAACCTGTTGCTCATAGTAGGTCTACACCACACTAGTTTTCAGGATTATGGACTAACTCACTCAGTTTAAATTCAGTTTGAAAACCTAGCTTTTTTTAAAGGGTAGTTCTGTTATCAGAACAAGGGGAAAATGTCCTTTTGTTGTACAGCATGTAGGCTTAGTTGCCTGTTCTTCCTGCTGAGTTTATTTCCAACACTAAAGTTCAAATGCACAATCAAAAAGGTGCCATCCTTAGCCTATTAGATGGACATAATCTCCTGTAACAGGACCCTGGATCATTGTCGAAATGAAACAAGGTTGTTGGGGATCCCCCTAAAAGTGTGTTGGTCATTGTCATTCTCGAGTTTGAAAGTCTTCAAATACCTAAGGTTTCATAGAGAGCGAGAGAGTCTCTCAGGGTAAATCCAGTCACAAAGTCTACAAAGACAGAGACCTAGATCTCTAGTTTGTCCTCTCATTTGTGGGATATTCTTTAAACTGAACATGGGATGGGTCAGAATTTGAACCAAAAAAGCGTCTGATCAGGAGAGTAAACGGCAGAGATGTGTTTGGTAGAATGTCAGTGTACGGTGAGTGCCCGATAAAAAGCCCTTTGCGTTTCCATGATGTCAGAAGGTGCCAGAACAGATGTGGACAGGCGGGACCAGCTCTGGTCAGTGGGACTTACTGGCTTGGGCTTGGTGGTGAGGCCCAGTCGGTCCTGGTCAAACTCCTCTTTCTCCTCCCATGATCCTCTGCTGTCTCCGTTGGACGACGGGGAAACCGTGAGATCCTTCACCTGCCCGCTCATCACCTGCACAGGGTCCAGACTCATCTCGACCATGGAAGGACCCTCGGCCTGCACTCCCCGGGCTGCCCACAGAACTCTGCCGCCCGCAGACACACCGGTGTCCACTCAGGCCCAGAAAACCCAGAAGGAAAGAAGACCTAATGAAGAACCCGTCCCACCACTGTCTGTTGCATTTATCTGGGTCCAGCAGTCAAAACCCTCTCCCACAGCGGCCTCCCCCTGCCTCAGAGCGGGCAAAGTGAAGAAGAGTTCCCTCTTCCTCCTGGTGCTCAGCAGTCTGGATCCTGATTCCGCCTCCCAACAGGATTATGGCTCTCACCATCCAATCCAGAGGACCCGCAGGACTCTCACTGCCCCACCAGCCTTATCCCAGGCCGCCCGGCTGCTGTGTTCCGGAGCGTGTGCATGCGTGCACGCCGGCGGGGGCACGGACTGTCTGTCCTCTGTGAGTGTGCTGCTGGCCCTGCAGCCGTCCATCTGCTGCTCCCTCTCTGAGTCCCCTCTCACTGCCCCCCCGCCCCTCCCCATCCCGGCCAAATCTCTCTCCCTGTCCCATTCACTCTCCCTCTCAGCTTTCTGCATTCATTTGTTCCCCCCTCCCTGCTGACCAATCACAGCCCCGCTTCCTTATTCAGCCCGGACACGCCTCCACTGTCCCCGTGTTGACGGTGCATTTACCGGAGAGGCTCATGGGACGCTCTGACACTCTCACAGCAAAAATAGCCACAATGATGAGCCCTTTAATCTGGGACTGCACCGAAAGCTTCTCTTTTTTTCTCCTTTTTTTATTTCTTTCTGTCAAACATGTCAGATGGAATCAGGTTTTTAAAAAATGCAAAAAATCATGATATAGAAAAAGGGATAATTTTTCATTTTGAAAATGATTTTTCTTCACCACAAACACCTTATATTTCCCCCCAGTTTAACTCATTCTTATCTCAAACTTGCGGGATAAGGACCATTTTGACTGTTATTGATATTGTGGGAAATGTCAGGAAAAAGCAGATTTAGCTATAAATGCTTGTGTATAGTGAAGCTAAAGGGTACTAACTGTGGGTGAGCATCAGAGAGGGAGGGGTTGATCAGGGGAAAGGGATAAATTAGCCTAAAGATAGTAGATAATGGATGTAACCTTTATCAAACACCAATGTTGAGCTCAGAGAGCCATTAGTGTTCCAGCATCTACATTCTGAATGTTACAGTCATCAAGAGGACAACAGCACAGTCCTCTGTTTTCTTTTTCCTTCAACAAAACAGACTTTACAACCTTTCAGGATTAAATGATGTTATATGGGAACAATGAGATATACTCGCAAAGATATTAAGATAGTTTTGTAGTTTTTAATTATGTTGGAAGAACAACATATAAGATCAATCCAAAAAATGTTGGCCATTTTAACAGAGAAAAAATAAAATAGGAGACATATTTATGATAATAGGAAGAAAAATGTTTTGCCATCATAAAGATTGAAAATTTGGAGAAAAAAATAGATATCACAGGCTTATGGAAATATAACAGACTTAGTTAGATTAAGGCATATCTTTGGTCTTCTGGGTTTTAATACTTATACTGTCTTTAACAATAGTTTTTAGTAATGAGAGTAGTAGTTTAGTAGTGTTTAAATAAACACAGAAGCAGAATCTTGTATAACGGTACCAAAAAGGAGAAGACAGCCGGTTCAGGTGAGCTTTGTATGAGTGGGGGGTGTCCATGAAAAATTTTCTCATTGAATTTTATTGTGTAAAGCTTGTTGGTTTGGAACAAGTTGCCTCTTAATTATTCATTCTCAACCAGCACAAGCACAGAAATAAATCTTGCCACTTGTGTTGCTCAAAAACTAAATGAAAGGGCCGCTTTAACAGAACAGTATACTCAGTTTGGGGATTTTTATTTGTCAGTTATTTCTAACCAGTTACAAACATAATATAGCTAAACTAATGGTGTTGACCTTTGTGCTAGCTGTTCCATCAGTTCTTTTTCCGGAATTTTCAGTTTTCTTTGCAATTTACTGTTATTTTCTGTCAATATATCTTCAGTTACTTATTTTATTCTCCTCATGGCTGTGCCAGGGCTGTTGTTGCTCATTCACGTACCTACGCCAGCAACCAATCAGAATTCAGCTGACGTCCTCTACTTGTTCTTTCTTCTGTTTGGCTGTTTTTTATCTGTTTTTTATATCTGTTCTTTTCTTAGTTTAGGCGGTTATTGTATGCATGTAATTCTGAATTTCCTAATTAGAATTTGTAGACTTTTTTTGTCCTACTGGTATAACTCATTATCTATAGACAGGCTCCTCGCTGCAGCAGAAGTTCTGGCTGACTGTCCTATTGTTTTCAGATTTTCTGATAATGCTTTCTGTTAAATCACATATTCATCAAACATTCTTCAGTGCTGCTTTGCACGCTGTGCTGGTGGAAAAAGCTTCTGTTGGTAACTGGAAGTCTGTTATCATGCCCAAAAAGAATGTAGTGGAAAATCCATCAACCTATTTGAGCAGCTACCTGAGCTTTGTCTGGAAGAAAACCTCGACTCAAGTTAAGTTAAAGAGGAGACATCTAGGGCGTAGAGCTCCAATGAAAGAGACAAATAACAAAGTGGGGTAAAACCACTTTTTCTTTTTAATCTTCTTGTAAGTGTGGGTTCATTGGCAGATGAAATCAAACTGTTGTGTTCACCTGGTAATGCTTCATAAGCACTCGTTGTTGTCAACCTACAAAAGCAACAGCCCAAACAGCCAGACATGAACTCTGAAGACTTCTAGCACACATTCCCCTCAGCTGCACCACAACGTTCTGTACGCTGGTCAAACATTTCTATTTCCCTTTGCTACCGTTCTAGAGCGAGAGTTGCTGTATCTTGGGGTTTCTGAGTGATGTTTCTTCAGTTCAAAAGTATTCATTCATTAATTTTCTGCAGCACTGAAGCTAATCCCAGCTGGCATTGGACAAGAGGCGAGGTTCACCCTGGATAGGTCACCATTCCCTCACACGGACACAGACCTGTTTGAATATGTCTCCTGTAATACTTTCTAAATTTATATACCCTTAATTTGTAATAACGGAACCTGAAGGCACATGTCTGGCTCAAGAGGCCCTGAAAGCGTCACTTATGTTCCCAATAGGTAAATGAACAAGATAAAAGAGAACAACAGCAGGACCTTTGACGACTAAAAGTACAATTAGGGGCTTTTTTCTCTAGGATAGTTCATCTCTTCAAATGTGGAAGCTGTTTGTTAGTCCACATGTGCTGCAGGACTCTAAAATCTCATCCCATTGTCCTCCACATTCTTTCCTCTAAATGCTTATGGAAAATGACATCTGTTTCCTTACTGCATAGCTCTGGTCTTTTGCTTTTCATGTGCACCGAACAGGTTTTCCTACAGATAAAACTGTCCCTGCCTGTTGTCCTACCAGTGGAGCTGAACGGTGTGTGGGGGGGGGGGCTGGACTAGCAGCTCCACCCTGTGGGCTTTCTGTGAATTGCACCCCTCGGCTGTGACCTCTATCACTGCGGTGAGTCGTGATTCCCGTGCTCTCTGGGTCTGGGCCCCTGTGTGGAGCTCTGGTGTTTGGTTTTCCACTCAGATGGAGCCTGATGCGATTAGGCACAGAATAGATTTCTATTGATCTGTGACGGACGGAATGGGAATGGGCAATGGAAAAGATGGTGGGGGGGGTGGCGTGGGGGGTAAGGGGTTGTGTGGTTAAACTGAGAAAATAGATAGACCAAAGCCTGTGGTAAATGGACGTGTTCTTTCTTAATGGCGGCAGAAACTGAGGAGCTTCATTTAGGCCACAAAGCCGGAAACGCAGAAATGAGTTTGACTACTGAGAATGGAAAGTGTCCACACCTCTTGCGGGAGGTGTAAATATGTCTTAAAGTGGCTGTCTGCCACGATTCATTAAGTTAAAGCTCAATCCTTATGAGTCACCTCATTGTGTTGAATTATTTCCCCATCGCTGTCCAGCTGAGTAAATGAGTGTCCACACACACCACGGGCCAAACTCATTTCCGCACTCATTAAATGTCACAACTCTCTACGCGTGTGTGTGTGTGTGTGTGTTTGTGCATCCATGCCCGTGTATAGATACATGCGACATCTACAGGGGAGCTTGTCTGGCAGCCCGGTGGCCTCGGCCCAGTTACCATGCCAACAGCCTGCCAGGTGACATCACTGCAGTAGTGTGGCATCATCACTAGATGGTGACTCACACTCGGGGGCTGCTGTGGTGCATTTTCAGAGGAAACACACAAGCCAAGAAGAGCAAGACGTGACTTCTGACATTTATCTTTTATTCTATGTAACAAAAATAATTACAATGTATTTGTTCTAGGAGTCTAACAATATTGAAAACAAAAAAACAAAACCAAAAAAGGAAGGCAAAATCATCGACAGGACGAGTAGACATTTACATAAACATCATAGAGAAATGGTGAAGAGTAGAATTATATTGCACGACAGAGCACACGTTATTCCCTGTGAAGAAGTAGAACATCCATGTTTATATTCACATCACACCGCTCAGCGTCTGCTCAGAGCTGCTGATGAGCCCACGGCTGATGGAGAGCATCACACCTAATCAGCACAGCATCCCCTCAGATGAGCTCCACCTATCCCAGCCAACGGGTTTCACAAAGCAACACAGTCCCATCTTTGGCACGTAAAATAAGCAGAAAAATACCTAATTTATTCTGTTTTTAATTGTATTGGACAAGAAAGAAGAAACAAAATGGATCCATGAAGAGAAAGAAACAGAAAACTATTGGTGTTAGCAACTGAAGGAGGGTTTTCCAGGTCTGCAGCGTAACTGATGAGGACAGACTGGGTCTGATCCACACAGCACGCCACACATCAACATGTTGTGAGGCCACTTTATGAGCCGCCCGCTTCCAATCAAGGCATTTTACTGTATACCGGCAAATGTGAAATTGGATGATTAACTGTGCATATGACAAGAATACGATGGCTCAAAACAAGAAAACCAGGCGCAAAAACCTTTGGGGCTTTTGTGGATGTGTACCCAGGTATCAAAACCTGACATGACCGGAGCCAATGTGGGTCAATCTTCACCGAGTCGTCTCTGTGGTTTGTCTTGATTTAGAAAATGTAAAAAAAACAGCAAAACATATCCCAAAGGACCGCGGCAATCAAACTTGGGCAATCTCTGCCGTTTTCGTGATGATCTCTTTGTCTCAGGCTAAATCTCTGCGTTAGTCCCTTGGCTGTGGATAACTTTGCTGTCTGGTTTCAGGTAGCAAGTTATGGAACAGCACAAGTGCCAAAAGAAAGGAATAAATCTGTAAAGCAATGAAAGAAAGAGTCATTTGTGAGGTAGGAATAAAGACATTTATTCTATTGATTTGTTTCCTTCTTCACTGTGATTTTGACTTTTTCAATTTGTTTGTGGGTTTTTTGGTTGTTTGTTTGCTTTTGATTTTTCTGTATCTCAACTGCTTTTGCTAGTTTTGCTTTTATCATTCGGTTTACTTTGCGTTTCCCATTCCGCCCACAGTAAATCCCACCCTTCAAGCACAGTTCAAATATCCTGGTGTCGAACAAGCACTTAGTAAATTCTTTTCTTTCTTTTTCCACATTTCCATGCTCATCAATCGGTCATCTCTTTGTGAATATCCCGGCTGTTTGCGATTTCACCCTTTTTTACAGCCGTTCTATAGAATTTACTGCAGGTTTCCTCGAAACCTAAAGCAGCTGTCTGCTATTGTGTTTTTCAAAAGAGCTGGTGTCTTCATGTCTTGTGTGGAAGTCGGTGCTGGTGCCACCTTGACCCTTAGATGAGTGGACTACTCGTTCTTTCTCAGACTTGCTCACGTCCCATGTGACTGCAGTGAATGATCAGTGGTCTGCATTATGTAATGTCGCTCACTTTGATCTCCGGGCATGTGCATTACGTAACAAAGAAAGGGAAACTGTTATGAGGCGTGGCATTATTCCTGCGTCCACTGCTGGACTCTGGATCACAGGGCTGTTTCCCCCCCCCCACCACCCACAGCCCTGGCCCCACACCTCAGGCTGCCTAATGGCCTGTCAGCTCTGCCATTTGGTACAAACGGACCTCCATATTACGAGTATGACTTGCAGCACTGCCACTGTAGGCTGACAAAACAATGACTTCCACATGGGAGACGGTTTACCAGCGGACCACAAAAGCAAACGCGTTATAATACTCAGTGCTTCGGTGTGAGCATTTACACTCACATTTTTACAAAGTTAAACTAGACTGAGGCATCTCTTGTTACACAAATGATACAAATACAAAACACTGAGCACTCACACAAGTGCCACGCACACTACCACAACCACCCACAGTTACTCCAACCCACACAGACACGCACTCGCACACACACTCGCACACACTCGCGCACAGTAGCTTTGTTGTCATATGAAATCATATCTAAGCTAGTGGTACATTTACATATTATAGTTGTTGTCATAAATACGATTACAGTCGCATTATGATGTACATGTAGGTTTGTCTTTACATTATCGCACAGCGAGGCTCTCTGAAGCCTCAGGGAGGGAGCATCTTCACCAGCTGTCTGAGGATGAGGAGGAGGGGACGGTGATTTTATGCAAAGATGGCTCAAATGACTAATCGTTGAATTGTTTTTAAGCACTAACATAGCTTGAGATAAGAAGGTGCTTTCTTGGCAGGTCTTGCCTCGACTGAAAGTACTAAAAGTACACAGATGTAATCCCAAACAAATAAAAGGAGATATCAGCCTATCAGTTTAACTGGATTCTGAATCATGACCAAATACTGTTTCCCACCATCATCCCAGAGAAAGTTTCGTTACGATTTTTTACATGACTAGACAGAATGACTTTCGCTAGCATTTAAGATCAACGCAACATCTATTGTGAAGTTATCAAGACCATTTTGAGAATCTGGCTTGGTTGGCTATCGAATGAGAAGATTGACATAAACAGCACACTTGTGCAACAGCAAATCTGAAGCTAAAGGCAGGGGTTTGTAGGGTTAGCTAGCGTGACGCTAAGAATCGCCACAGTGAAGAAAAGTTATTAGCTTCCCTTTGTTCAAAGGAAGAAAAGGGAATTAAAGGAACATAATTGTTCTTTCTGAATGTTCACTAATTGACTCTTTGTTCAGTCCATAAGCCTTTTTTAATTGGCTTTTTTTCGTCAGCAAGCAATATTTCAAATAAGCTAAGCTAAGTTACAATCGGCTGAGCTTAACTATGCCTTGTTGTGTTTGCACCATTTAATAAGGAACACTCTCCTTTGACCTCAGATTAAAAAAAAACATAGTTTATTATGAGGCTAGAAATGGACTGAGATATGAGGCTGGTCCTATTTGAGCTTAGAAACACTGAAGTTAAAAATAAGGTTACACACGTACAAAAGATTACCACAGAGCAAGAAAAGATACAAAATGTTGCCAAAATAAAAAGTCTACTGTGTTAAGCTTCTTGTGGCGGTAGCTTCAAATTTTTATTTTCATTTCATACTTTCTTTGTTCCAAACTAAAGTGCATTATTATGTAGCATTTCCAGTAAATTAGATAAGTGCCTTATATTGTGGTCGTAGCTCTACATTTCAGACCTTTTCTAATTCAATGCGCAGGTGCAATTACACCCTCCAGTCATCTGCCCTAGCTTACCCTCTTATGGACAACACTCCACCAGAGCTACCTTTTTTAACCTTTTGCTCCGTTTCACATCGATTTTAGATCTGAGCTGAGTTCAGTAAAGTTCCTCTCCCTGTGCCGATTATCAAAGCGCTTCCTCTGACATTTAGAAAGGAAGAAAACCAAACGGGGCAGGAGCACGGCAGCGGGAAAGAATGAGGAGAGAGGGCTATTTCACCTGAAACTATGCTGAATCACAGAGGCAGATTTGGCCTTTCTTAGAAATGTCATAAGACCCATGATCAGTATCCTGATTATCTCCACTCCATGTTCCTCTAGTGGCTTCTTCTGTTGCTCAAATAAATGGTTTCCCAAGATTTGTTGGGAGTGATGTTTTTTTTGTTTAGGTTTTTTCTATTTCTAACTCTGCTTTAATCGAGTATGTCACAAAGTTGACAAGCGCTGTGCTTTTTCTCTCTCTCATTTTTTGGCTAGTCAGCCATCAGATCCCAACTATTGATCAGAGAGAGAAAGTAGCTGACCACTATGGCATGAAGAGCAAAACCATGTTGCCACCTGAAGAAGTAGCACACAGGCTGATAACAACACACACACATACACACATACACACACACACACACACACTGTTAAATGTCGCCTAATTTACCTAAACATCTTTTCCTATCATAACTTTCATTTTGTTAGGCTGCAGACTAACTTATGCAACCCTGACTGAGAGCAGATGGAGCTATGGGGGACAGTTTTTTACTTGCTAAAAAGAGCTTTGGACATGTTACTAGAAAGAAAAGTCTTTCCTCTCGCCTGGCTACAGGTGTTCTTTTTTTATCTTCTCGACAAGATATTGATTTTGTCACTAAAACGGTGGGTGCAGTCAGAAGTCAGCGGGCAGCACATCAGCATGCCTCACCTTGCTGCTGGTGGCAGCTGCCAGAGCCTTTCATCACCTGCCTGTCTGCTATTTACGGAGCAAAGCAGGTGGACACGAGCCAGAATCTGCCAGAAAGGCTACACATAACGGCTTTGGGAGTTTGTCTGTGGAGCCGCTAATGAACGCCAGGGTGGCAGCGTGACAGTGTCATACAGATTCAAGAGAGGTGAATATGTGTGTGTACACACACACACACATATATATATATACATGGGTGTGTGTGAGTGTGTAGCTGATGGTATTGTATGGTGTCGTTCAATTACATGCCTCTCTCTAACAGTACTAAAATAAAAAAGGACGTATTTCCTGACACTGAATGAACCAACAGGACCTATTCTGGGTTAATGCCATTCCTTTTTATCATATAGTGGATGTGATAAAATATTTCATATTAGACTGGCTACATTCTCAAATCGGTGTCTTCACACTTTGGATCCGCCTGCAGCCTTTTAATCTCACATGCTCCACACGGAGCTCGCCTGTGTGAAAGCACGAGTGACACCATATTTCTCTGCTCTGAGCCAAACAGCGCAGGAGGGATTTCCACTTCCCAAACACAGTCTGACTGGACTAATGGAGACAGCCACGGAGGCCGAAGCCGCACTGTGCCGCGGGAGTGTGCTGCACAGCGGGGGGTGGCCTGGAAAAAAAGGAATGGCATCCATCAGAGCTCCACCACGCTCCAAACCAGGCCCTTTTCCAGCCATCCCTGCCTCATAAACCTCTCTCCTCCTCCGTCCTCCACTACATCCCTCCCTGACTTCTCCCACCTCTCTCAGCCTCCTCCCTCCCTTCCTTCCTTAGTTTCCTTCTCCCTCCCTTCCCCCTCTCCCGTTTCCCCATCCCTTCTGCCCTACTTCTGCATGTCACACTGCAGCAGCAGGACGATCGAGGGATCGGACTTGGCGGCCTCTTTGAATTCCTCCAAGGTGATCTCATCATTGTGGTCCTTGTCCATCTTGGAGAAGATCTTGTCCACACGCTGCTGAGGGGTCAGCCCGTCCTCGTTCATGCGCATCATGATCACTGTGCCAACCATCTTGTAGATGGCCTATGAAAGAGGGGGAAAGGAAGAATTCTGGTGTGTCAGACTCTCGCACGTCAAATTCCCCTTTCTGTTCCCACCTCACACACCTCAATGATCTCCAGCATCTCCATGCGTGTGATCTTCCCATCTCCATCCAGATCGTACATGTTGAAGGCCCAGTTGAGTTTCTGCTCGAAGCTGCCTCTGGAGGTGATGGACAGGGCACAGATGAACTCCCTGAAGTCAATGGTTCCATCGCCATTTTTGTCGAACGTCCGGAATGCGTGTTGAGCAAACTTGGAGGCGTCGCCATAAGGGAAAAACTGCAGGGACAAAAACAGCAAAAAACAAACAAAGGCACACGTCAAATCCAATAACAAATCAGATTGTGTTGAATTGTGGTTGATGAAGGAGTCTGTTATTTAATTTTTCCCAATGCTAAGGGATTAAAGTCTCGACATTGAATACCGAACACTTTTCCATTAGTACCTGCTCAGCCCTTCTTGGATCTACTCGCAGTGTCATGGCTCGGTTAAAGTTGTTTTCCATTTGAATGAGCTATCAACAGAAGCAAACAAGCGCGGGGGGAAAAACTCTGATGTTTAACATATTGGGACGCAGTAAATGAAATGGGATCTTTTACAGGTGCTTAAAAGGAGATGAATAAAGCGCCAATGGAATAACAGTACCTGACATAAAACTGAGCTAAAGTATTCAGTTCTGTTGTACTGATAAATGGAAGATGGTGGGTCCCTTTTCTTAGTATTCCTTTTTCTTGCAGTGTAAACGATTCAGGTCATGGTTAACTGAATTCAAGCTAATAATACTTTCAATAACCATCCATCCATTTTCGTAACCCCTTATCCCCTAATGGGGTCGGGGGGGACTGGAGCCTATCCCCATGGTCAATGGGGAGAGGCGGGGTCACCCTGGACGGACCAAGTCCATCACAGGGACACACAGAGACACACAAAGACCAACAACCACACACACTCACACTAAGGGCAGTTTGGAGTCCAACCAACCTAACGTGCAGGTTTTTGGAGGGTGGGAGGAAGCCGGAGAACCCGGAGAGAACCCACAGACACAGGAGAACATGCAGAACCACCCAGAAAGGTCCTGGTTCCCCCGGGACTCCGACCCAGAACCCTCTGGTCCTGGTTCCCCCGGGACTCCAACCCAGAACCCTCAGGCTGTGAGGCCATGGTGCTAACAGTCAACAGTCTGGGCTACATATGCACAATGAATTACCTTTAACATGACATAAAGGTGTGCATATGTGTAGTTTTTCAATTTATTCATTCTAATGCTATATTTTAAAGGCTTAAAGTGAACTTTTAAAGAATGCAAAGAGCTACAATTACAACCCACGGTTGTTTTCTCTTCCATTCAAAGCTGAAGTGGAATGAATTAACTTGCCAGAAAATGTACAGCCCATTCAAAAGATCATCAGATCTAAGTATAGATGTGCACACCGGTAATTGCTGTTGACTCATCTCAGCACTCTGGCAAAGTACAGAATATTCAACAGAACTTTTGGGGAAAAAAACAACAGGGCACCAAAACCACTGTGGTGTGTTTTCTTAGAAAAAATGTAGTTGCTAGTTCTTTTGTGTCTATTGTGTAACTCAGTGGTAGTTGTTTTGCCTTGAATTCACCCAAGGACTGGGCAGCAGCTGCTGACTGACTGACTCCATGGTCCTCCCTATAGTCCATTTAGTCAACAGAAACTCAACTTATGATTCTTTAAAAAATGACTGTGGCTGAAAATAAGTATTTAAATACATTCTAACAGTTTGGATGTTTGGGATAATTCTGATTAAAGAATCAGTCATCCATTAATTCTCTATCCATCCATCCATGTACTGTATATATATATATATATATATATATATATATATATATTCATATACAGATTGATATATAAACTGCTTCTTTTTCATTGCAAAAAAGGAAAAAGGAAAAATCAAGTTGCTACTTCCACCATCGCCTCCCCACTTCCTCTCACCTTGACATAGAGCTGCTGAAACTCCTCCAGGTTGAGAATGCCCGAGGGACAGTCTTTGAGGAAGCCTTTGTACCACTGCTTGAGCTCTGCCTCGTTGAATTCCGTGCTCTTGGTGAGGTCATCCAGGACCTCCGGGGCCAGCTTGCTGTTGTGTTTCCCCATGATGCTTCACGTCTGTGGGAGGGAAGGCAGGAGGAGAGAGGCGGCAGGGTTAGGACACAGGTGAGGAGGTGCCAGACGAATCAGCAGGGCTGCCCCCGTGTTATTGAAGAATCGCAAATGTCTCCTGAGGATGGATGCAAACAAGTAACTACTTGCAGATAGATGCATGCAAAGACAGTCCCCTGTGTTTTGCTGTGGCTCCACAAGTCATAATATCCAGTAGGTTTTTGTCTTCACATGCTATCTATTACCACAGGAGTTGTTTCTCTTTTTACATGATGACATTCTGAGAATTAAATTATTTGGAAGAAAACGTCTAGAGTTTAAATGCCATAACACTATGACCACTGCAAGATGTAAAGGAGAAAAACTAAAAGGGTTATCTTGTAACAATGGCCCTGTGGTAGAAAGTGGGGCATGACAGACATCAAGTTAACATGTCCTTGAAGGAGGGAGGAAGCAGAAAAAGGGGTAAGCATGAGGATTTGGCAAATTAGATTTTTACTAAACAGTGTGATGGGTCAGGGCAAATGAAACATGTCCACAGAAAGAAAACACGTGACTGACTTACTGAAACAAGGATGGCCCAGATTTAGCGAAACAAATACAATATGAAATGCTTGTATAGTGTTGTGTTAAGGGTTATGTGGGTTCAGACTGATCAGGATGCTCACTGGCTAAGGATGCTTCAGTCGGGATGTGAGCAAGAGAACGGAAGAATACAAAAAGACAGCTCAGCCGGGCTGGGAGTTAAGACACAACAGAGGGGATTTAATATGGAAGGAAGGCAAGCCAGCAATCGGTGTGTGATAATCTGCGGGGAAACCTTGTGTTGCATTCTTTGTGATGTATGTGACTCAAACAGCTCCATTAACATTGTTTGCAGACATGAGATTCCATAGCAGTGTCCTCTTTCACCAGGAAAATGTTCCCTCCTACACTGCAATGGCTCAAGAATGGTTTCAGGACCACAAAGCCTTTTCAAATCCCAATCCAAATGAACATCAGGGTGATGGGGAAACAAGGTGCACGCATGGAGGCCCATCTTAACATAAAGGTTTGAAGGATTTGCTTATGAAGCCTCACGCCAAATGCACAATCATATGTTCCAAGTTTGAGAAGACCTCATGCTTCAATGTGTCGCTATTAGGGATCTCCTTAGGATTTGGCAATGGGTCCTACCGGTAATTCTGATGTTTAATGTGTAGACTGTGTCTTGTGTGACACATACTGCTACAATAAAACTTTGTTTTATGTCGTCTAGATATACTAATATCAAACACTGAATTTAAATATTGAATTTTAGTAAAGTTTGTGTAGTTACTTGGTTATATTCATATGGTTTGGGCTTAACTACGTTCGGGATTTTAGCTCTATACATAAATGTAAAAGAACAAACTCTACTTACAAAGCAGTCAAAAATATGAATGATGAAGAATAATTTAATGAAGAATTATTAAAAAGATGTCACTCTTTGTTTTGAATAGCTGCTCTGCCGAAGAAATCATGATTCCACAAATTCAGTAAGTTGTAAAGTAGTTTTAACTCGAGAAAAAAAAAACTCTACACGAGACAAGACGTGTTTTAACGATTTGCTGGAAAGGTCGCCGGTCGTGGCCATCATTCCGGCTCCATAATCACCTGCTGATGTCATCCCTGCAGCTCTGCCCATAAAATGGCCCATTACACGCTAATACCACGCACATACTCCACATGCTGATGACCCTCATGACGCCAGCCCTGACTCACGGCGTGGTCTCACCGGGTTTGACACCGGGACACAGCAGACCGGCCAAAAATCCAATAGCGCGAGGAAGGCGCGATAAATGCCTGAAATATTGCTTCGTCGCGCTTTATGGGGATGAGTCATGTAGACAGGGGTGCCTCACCCTCGGCTCACTGCAAACTCTGCTATTATTTTTTTGATGTTGCATTCCTGTCCCAAGTGGAAGCGACTGCAGGGGGAACATTTCTTTGGAAAAAAAGGTCAGTCAGAAAGGATAAAGGATGCTGTTTAAAGAAACAGAAATCCTGTGTGTTAGGTGAAACAGTTAGATTTGGAAATGGAAATTGCCACTAGACAAATCAAATTAAAGGATCCATGGTTTTTATACTTTTATATACAGTATTAGCTGTGAAAAGATTAATATGAGGGTTCCATTCTACAAAGGAGACGTGCAATGTGACAAATGAAAGGATTCGGAGATGACCTGCTGAATCTAAGAACTTTAATTGGGGAAATAATTACTGATTTAAAAAAGACCTGTCTTTTCTGCCCACACGTGTGAGCATATGTTGAAGAGAAGGCTCATGTTGTGGGAGACCTGTTTTTGAAGTGATAGTTTAGTCGTCTATAAATCATTCTCGGCGTCCAATATAGTAGATCTGTCGATCACAAACAAAAGAAGCAGACTCGTTGTGGAAGATTTTTCTTACTTGTACCCTGCCAGGCATTCACAAACACTACGAACAGTTGGAAATTTGTTCTCAGCCTCCATCTGCTAGGGGTAAGATTTTACCTCAGCGTGAGGGGACATGGAGTGGCAGCACTGAGGTGGGAGAGGTTATAGATAACCGGAAATCTTTCATCCTTTGCCTTTCTGGGCCAATGAGTCAAATCTCTGGAGAAAAGAGGTGAAGCTTTGACAAGACAGATTTAACTGATTTCTTCACCCTCTTCTCATTTTGGCTAGTGAAGGGAAGGTAATACTTGATTTAAATCACGCAGCATGAAGAATGTGTGTACATGTGGGGTTTGTCAAACTGTTTTTTTCAATTTTTGTCCAGAAGGAGACCAAGAACGGTTGTGATTAAAATCAGTAATCATAACAGCAATCAGTATCCCTTAGCTAACTTACAGAAAAAAAGGAGAAATAAAACAAGTGTGATTTTTCTACTGCATATAGGAAATATGCACACAGTGAGATTAATGATTCTAAGATATGCAGCCACCTGAATGTGGCTCAACAGACAAAGGAAAAAAGCCCTTACCTATAAACACTCAAGCCCACATAAAGCCTCAATTTAATCCACAGGATTTCATTAGTGTGCTAATGCGGGCTACGACAACAAATCCTTGAACTGTGTTCAACATTAGTCACCAGCTTCATTTTGAATATGCAAGTTTAAAAAACCTAAGATGTGATCATTTTTTTTCTGGAAAAAAATAGATAAATAGAATACACTAAAAAGTCTAAGATGCTTAAACCATAAAACAAAAGCTAATTTGGTTCCATTTTCTTTTTCATGACACCTTTGAATTGTTTGGGAACTGAGGATGCAGGCTGTAAGAATATTGCAAAGAATTCTTTCTATATTCTTATTGAATTAAGGATGTTTTTATGGTGTGTGATCGTTGTTCTCCTTGAGCCTGAGCCTGGTCTGGACCACAGGCAGGCCAGTCAAGCGTGCTGTTATGTGGCGGGATTCACACGGATGCGATGTGTGATTCCACAGTGGGTGGAGCTGACGTCTGGAATATGAGCAGCAGTAGGTTAGAACATCAGCATCTTAGCATGTCCCAAAAAGAACGGACCCCTTCGGAACCACTTGGCCGTATTTCAGCTGATATATTGCTTCTTCACTATAAAATATATTGTATATGTCTTTTGTCATTCTAAACATTTGTCTTTTGAGTTAGTGGTGTTTTTCAAGTGATCTTTCATTTGGTTTTACATTTATATTTAGATCCTGTTCATTGTCCCATCGTCTGCCTGGTTTCCTCCTGTTTTGGCTGTCAGCTCCACTCCCCCCCCCCAGTGTAAGTTATCCTAAAGTGCCACCACTCACCATGTCATTCCCCAACCTTTTTAAGCCTCTGGCTTCCCCCTTTTGTCAGATCCTTGTCCTTGTTTATCACATTTTCCCTATTTGTAATTTATTATCCTGAATCTGTGCGATCAGAGGCTCGGTAGATTTGTGTTCTCATCGTGACTGATGGGCAGTAGTCAGGCCCGCTTGAAGGCGATCTGGCTGACAATCCGCTGAGACTCTGTGTTCTCAGAGCTGTGGGGAAACCGTTATGATAGCTCCAGGTACTCGTTGTTTTGCTGACATGCGACACGGGTGCGACAAATCAAGCTGCTCAGATCAACCCGGATGACGTGTGAGTGACGCCGGCTGTCCTGTCGGCGGGTTTGTGCGATTACCCAAAAGTGTTGTCTGCTGGCCAGATAGAGCTGTTCACCAGACTGAGTAACGATGGTGGGATTCCCTGATCTGCACCTATCATAGGAGTGATATGGCCCCAATGAGTGTTAAGCTATGGAAAGATTTTGTTATCAAAGAATGAATTTTGAATCCAAAAAAGCTCACACCCTCGTTGTCCTTGGCAAAAGCCCTCCAGTCTGAACATTGTATCTTCAGCACACACACTGAACTCCACAGGAAACCAGCACAGGGCTGAACGCGCTGTGGTTGTGCTGAGCCTCGTGCTCTCTGGCCTCGGCTGGGCATACCCCAGAGGGGAAAATGTGTCGCTATCTCCGAGAGGGAGAACGATTAGCTGGCTAAAGCTGTAATTGAGTTGGAAAGGGAGCAAAAATGGGAAGCTGGGCCCACCACATGCTGCCACCAGTGACTGTAGGTTTGGGTTGTCTCTGTGACTGTAATAACCTCTGGGAGAGTGGAAAAAGTACAATGGATGCAATATGGGCAACAATTATAGGATATTAACACCAGCCACGCTCTCCACTACTGGGTACAATCCAGTATCCAGCCAGGAGAAGAACCCTGATGGAAGAAGGATGGTGTATCTGAGGGTCACGTATCGATATGTGACTAATAAACTGGTAACTGATCACAGCATTGAATCCATCCAACCATCAGAACATATGTTCCCTTGACAGCCGTTACCGGGCTCCCTGCCAAACGGCCATCCAGCAGAGACTGAGGCTGACGGCCAATCGAAACATCCCTGTGCCAACTGGAACCAGCTAGCTGGGGGACTGGCATATGGTGGTGATGCAGGGGGCTTAACCGAAAACCACAACACAGACAAGTCATCCATTTCTGTCTC